CGTAGAGCAGAATCCAACGGAGAGGCTGTTTGTTGGAATGAAAGACCGAAAGCGAAGACGGGAGGGAGCGAACGAGCGCGCTTAAGAGCAATAAACCAAAACTATCTCCGGATGTACATCAGCCATATTCCAAAAGAGACCGGATCGCAGCTATCGGGCCATTCCCGACCGCGTGTCCGCTGAAACTCCGAGGGACAAAGATGCCGCGATCCGGATATGCCTCTGGTAGAGGACGATTTCTCACGGTCGTATTTTATCAAAGTCCTCGTGGGGAATTAGCAGGATTCGATGACCTCGGAGAGCTCAATCTTTCACATTTTGACGGCGAGATTTCGAGGTGTTCCTTCACCTTCTTGGACTTCCTCGCAGAAAAGGAAGAAGAAGCGAGCAACTCCAGGATTTCCCGGCTTGCTTCGTCGCATTTAAGAGGATGATCATCATCGGCGCCAAGCGGGCAGCCGTATGCAACCACTCACGAATCACGACCGACAGACTGACCTCCGTTGGTTTTTCTCCCCACGCACGCATACTCAAGTCATGCCGTGAGTTCGCTTCCCAAGAAAATACGCGTCGCTCTATCGTCTGTTCGGAGCTCGTGTTGAGTAAGCCTAATCGAGCTCGCTTGTATGAAGTTCTCTCTGATCTGAATCGGGAGGAAAACTCATCATGTGGGCATTGCTATGAATTGAATTCCTAACTAGACGGCGGTCTTCAGGAATCGGAGATGCGAAGGTGCCGATTCAATCATATCTCTTAATCATATCATTTTTAAACTAGGGAATGGCAATGGATTTACTTGGGCTCCATTTCGGAAATTACACAGAGGCCAGGCGCAACATCGAGGGTCTCGGTTGAATTGAAAAAGTGGAAGAGTCCCGATGTCAACGAGGGTAACGTGGAGCGGAGGATCTTCTGCGAGTTCGAGACCTCGCTCGGGAGGATTCCCAGACCGAAGTTCACGAAGGTCTAACCCCAATCCGATCGGACTTTTTTGGTGAAAGGCTTTGAAACCGCGATGAGGAACAGCCAGCCCAATCTCACATGCCTTCCATGGTGGGTTTATCGAGAGGTCTCCGTAGAAACTTGCAGTCTGGCTCAGCGGCTCAGCGGGCTCGGAAGCTTCGAAGTGCGGAATGAGTAGATCAATACAAAGGTGGTCAGAGATGTTTCTTCCTTCTTCGATGTCGATTTGTGATGCGAGAGGATCTCCCAAAGCTGAGGCTACCGAAATTGACTCTGTTTCCGACAGTTGCCGTTTCTTGGCCCGACCCTTTGGAATTAGGCTGCTCACGGAGGCACGAGCGCTCAGTTCCTTGCGGAACTGAACTCCCCGCTCGGACGCAAGGGTGCAAAACCGTGAGCCTCCCGGGTTCTTCAGAGTTCAGTCCATGATATGAGTTCTGGAAGAAAGCTGGAGTTCTCAAGATTTCCGAGCCGGAGAGACCACCCCCTTGAGGAATGTCACACCGGCCCGCCTGTGCCGAGTGTGTCGAAACTTCCCGAGAACCTCCTCCTGCAGGGATGTGGACCGAATCTATCGAAGAATCGCACTTCATAAACGAAATAGATTTCAGATAAATGCTCATCAACGATGGATCAAGTTCACGGGATTGCGAGCATCATCGACAGCGCCCTACAGTGGGAATAAAATGAATTTCGCTACACGATCTCCTCAAATGTTTCGCGGGCATCTGACAAAGTCCGGCGTCCGGGATGGGTTCATAAGATGGAGTCAATCCTCACTACTTCCAATGACTTATTGAAATGACGGAAAGATGCCACATAATTAGGCAGCTCAGCTCCGACTCAAGCGTACAGAACCCTGAAGCTCGGCTCCCCCAATACAGAATCCCGAGGCCGATCCTCTCCTTACTAAAAACCCTCCGGACCTGACCTAATTTGGGCATCGGTTCGCCGCCAAGTGTACCGACACCGACGACACTGTCGGCGAAACCAACGCTGATTTAACCGAGAGCAAGGACTGATCATCATCAGGGAATCCAACACGGACAGAGGCTCCGCCATATCGTAAGTCATAGGATCGTACGGTGATTTGGCTCCAGACTCGAGACCCAATGCATCAGATCTCTGCTCCTTCGCGTCATTTGCATTAGTCCGGGGCTTCCCGATCGACCAGATCCGGGAGAAATCTTCAGCCGCCAGCCGAGAGATGCTGGAATGGAGCTGATGCCACACAGGGCACGGCCGGAGTGCTCGCGAGCCGGTAGAGTCGAGACCGGGAGCTCCTTTCCGTCATTTCCTGCACCGCTGCGCTGCAGAGAATGAGCTGTGTCAGAGAAAACGTTTGCTTCTCGTCTACAAAAGGGTCAGGGTGCGCTCGTCCCGGAAACGAGGATCGACAAGCGAGGACTTCGTTTGGTTCCAGCAAGGAATAAGCGATCTCATTTTGAGTTGCGACTCACCGTACAAGTCCGAATAATCGCTGAATCCCGGTACTGAGGCTCCATTCCAGACGGGCTCCCCGAGAGTTTTACCTCCAGCCGACGACCCTCGCTGTCGGTCCCGACATTCGCAAGTCCACCTGTCCAAGGCAGTGGTCATCGAGTTCTTTCATTTCAGATGATTGTCACTCTAGGAGACGAAATCGAACCCATCAGAATCGGGAAGATAGAAGAATCGCACCTAATGACTTATACTAATATCACGCTCTCGTAGTCTTATGATATCGTAACGACTCACACTCGAGATCTATATAACAATAGACCAAACCATAGTATGAGCGTTTATGATGGACCACATACCCTATTCCCCGGTCAAAGAGTTGAATCTGCGTGAGACACCTATGTTGACTGAGCCTCTTCCAGTAGCTCTCCGATTCCCTCCATGGAATTGACGCTAGGACTTGGAATTGCACAGGCTTTCGATTTGAAGTTTCCGACACGGAACCGTCACCATCGGTTCTCCTAGGCTCGTCTCATATGAAGAAAATTCTGTCAAGTCGCAGGAATCTGAAATATTTCAAGATCGTACCTGAGTAAGGAAGTAACATAATGGTATGGCGATCTCTACTCGCTCAGTCCGGGAAACACAGCTCCATCGCTCTGACATCCGCGCGCCAGCAACTGACTTGCGTCGTCTGCTTTCGCTCATGTTTATTTAGGATCCTTATCCCTCTCTCTGTCTCGAAACACCGCTCCCCTCGTTCTCTATTTTCCACACTCGGCTCGGAAACGTCTTATATCATAAATTTTCCCCTCCTTCTCGTACCGATGGGATTCTACTGTCCAATCACTGTGGTAGTGCTTTCAAAGTAGAGGTTCTCGAGAAGGGTTCCAACAAACCCTATGGCCTCAGGGTGACGCGAGCCGCGAATCTGCCCGTCTGAAAACTTTTTCCATCAAATCGCTTTCTTTCCGTCATTCTCGACTGTCACCTTGGATTAAGACATGGGCGACGACCGACGACATCCGAAGGTTGCGCTGTTCTCGGAGCATATCCATATTCAAGATAATAAATTTATGAAATTGCTTCTTGGAAGGTGTATAGTGTATAGGGACACGAGGATCCCGCCGAATCCCTCGAGGCATCCTCGAACATAAACTCTCTAGCCACAGCTCTAGGCAACTGCTGATCCTACCGCGGGATGATTCATGAGTGCGCCGAGGTTGAATATGACGGATGGGAATCAGAACACGAAGCTTTCAAGCTGTAGCTTGTTCTGCGAGCTACTGATACATGAAGAAGCAGAAGATTCCAAGACGCCGGAGTTCCAGGCGGCCGAGCTCGGACGAGAAGCTCTGACTCGATTTCGGGTGAATCTTCCCGGCGATGGACCTGAAGGATTTCCTTCAACGAAGCAGCAGCCACCATACCAATGGTTTTTGAGTGTTTCAAGAGGGCTAAGAGAGTATTCCTCCCTCCGATGTTTCTATTCCGTGTCCTCTACGAAATATTCCCGAAGGCCGACGGCTTCTATATCGCGGAATGGAGACCATTCCGACGAGGAAAAAGCTGCCTAGTCAGGAATTCATGTATGTTCCCCGCATCTGTGCGCCTCGTGGTTAGGCTTAACAGCCAGCGCGATGACGACCATTCTGAAGCTAGGCTAGCTTACTGGCTGGCTAGCCGGCCGGCCGACCGACCGACCAGTCGTCGTCAAGCATTGAGCAGTTTCTTCACCATCGGCAGCGGGTCTGCTTCGCTGGCTCTAACGGTCGTCGCTTCTGAGGCGGCGGTGGCGGCGGCGGCTGTCGAGGCTTCATTCTTGCTCGTTGTAGTCGTCGCGCTCGTCAGTCAGCGGCTGCGAGGGACTCGCGTAGATCTCTTCGTTTTCTTCGGCAATAGCACCAGTCGTCGCAGCGGCGGCGCGCAGCGGTAGCGAACTTCCCTCCTCTTCGTTGTTGTTGTTGTCGTCGTCGTTGTCGTCATCGTCGTCATTTCCTCTCCCTCTCCCGCTTGCTGTTCGACGACGACAACGACGACTTATGGGTTCTTGGAAACGATATGGCTCGTCAAATATTGAAAGCGTCTCGTCGGAAATTCAGCCCCACGGCTTCTTCAAGAACCCGACAGGCTCTGAAATGTTAATGCGCATGCGCCATTTGGTGTGCTCGTTGCCCGGACGCGCCCGTTGATTCGGCGCCGAGAAAAGCCGCCATCGCGATTTTACCGGGCGCCCACAGGTTGTTGACAGCTGGCGAATGTTGAAAACCTGATGAAAAACCTCTTTCCAGGAGATGCAAAGTCTCGAGAAACGTTGTATACATCGGTCGCTATCGTTTTGAACTAGAATTTTGTCCCCTTGGTGTTGATTGAACAAAATGAAGCCTCAACAGAAACATTGAAAAATCGCAGGTTTTCCCGGGATTTTTCGATACGAAACGAACTCTGAAGTCGACCGAACTCGTCAGGGACACAAATCTCCTGCGGAAATCGCGATTTTGAGCGAAAATCTATTGAAAATCAGTCACTTCACGGCACAGTGGCGCCCCCACCGCCAGTTCAGGTTGAAAGAGGGCGCTTTGTCGCAGCCAGGTCTCGCGGCGTGAGTGCGTCGGCTTCCACTCCATCGCCGGTCGAGCTACTGCGAGCATCTACCTGTCGGATCTCTTCAATTTCCTTAAGTCTTCGAGGTACTCAGCATTCCTGCTAACCAAGCGAAAATGCCCGCCACACGCAGCCGCCAAAGGTAAGCCTCGAAACGTTTCATATTCGACGTGAGGTTCCCACAGAATCTCTATACTTTCAGAATTCAGAGATTCCTTCTATGGAACCGTTCGGTTCCGTTGGCATCGCATAGGATGCCATTGCACATCGTTGCGGCTCCTATTGGTGGCGTTGCCTCGTGCTGCAGTAATGCTGCTCGTCTAGTGGCCGAACGGTACACGTTCGTCGGTATTTTGTGACCGCGCTTGTCGTCGAATCGTGTTGCGCGCTCAGTCGCTTGACGACCTGTAGAAACTCATGCCGTCGTCGTCATTTTCCGAAACAGCGGCATCGCGTTGTCGAGACATTCGGCACACACGTTAGGGTTAGGTATAAGTTCAAATGTCTCCCTGTCGCTCTGCTCATTCTTCGCGGAAAACATCCGAGCGCTTGAAACTCTCGGTATCGTTCGTTCACCGAAGCAGTTCATCGAGCGCCAAGCATGCCGAGCGTTGGGCCTCGGCCAGTTCCGCTTACGATCGCTGTCAGTGGCCTCCTGAGCTCTCGGAGCTCTGTCAGAGGCTCACAGGTACCCCGGGAGCGGGAAATCGCTATCGGAAGCTCTTGCAACGGACTCACGCTAGAATTCGTTAATCCTCTCGTGGCGCTCTCATATAGAGCATGGATGGCGGCGGCGGTGGCGGCAGCAGCGTCGGCCATTGCACTCATCACGACCGCCACCGCCACCAGAGCCAACCATTGCTTATTCGTTCGGGTTTGCTGAAGCTTGTCTGAGCGACCGCATCGAACTCTGACACTCTGCGAAATGTCAAAGCGTGTATCGGCACGAAGCCGGCCAACGCCGTTCGAGCGGCATGGGTCTGCCTCGTGCACACGGTTCCTGAATAAAATTCGATCTTCCGGGTTCGGATTCGCATACGGCGAGCTACTCGGGGTGGATACTGTCATTCGGCATCGATTGTGTCATCTTATCCACCTTGTAACGCAATTTTAGACGGATCCGGAACCTGAGATTCGTATCGAGCGTTGCTATTGGCGCCGATGGATGCTCCGCTCGGCCGCTTGGCGCGCTCCACGCAAGTCAATATGGCCGCCGATATTCCTCTCGCGCTCTTCGCTCACGCTGGCCGGCTAGCTTCTTCTAGCTCACTCACTCAGACAAGCGGTCAAGTTCTGTGCGGAGGCTCCGCTCTTGAAGTTCCCTAGTTTTTCTCACTCTCGCGCCTTCTCCAACCTGACTGCTCGCTTGCTCGTCCGCTCTCCCTCTCACTATGACGAGTGCCGGACCCATGGTGAAGGGAAGCTCAACATAAGAACGAGCTGCACTTTGGGAAAGGGGAGGCATCGGAGGGGGGAAATACCGCGTTTTCCTCGTATAACAATAGCGTGGATCCCCTGGGGTATCGAGACGCTTCGATTTTCGTGGGAAACGTGCACGTATCGGCGTTGCGAGAACTGTCACCCGCCTTCGAGACAGAATTCCCCGATCCCTTCTCCGAATTTTCGACTTTTGTTGCACGGGGACAGCGAGGGTCGTCGAAGCCGCCGGCTCGCTTAGCTGTCGGGTGGTTTCGCAGCCTGCCTGCCTGCCCGCCTGCTTGGTTGGTTGCTTGGTTGACGGCGACCTCATGGTAGAAGCGATAGCTTGCCTTCAATCTATCCGCCGGTCTGGCTAGCGCCATTTCTATTGTGAAGCAACGAAGCCAGTGACCTGTGCTTGAGAACGTTGCTCGCTCTCACTCCTTCGTTTGCCCGTCGTCGGTTTGTCCCGCGTCGTTTCGGATGCTTGGTCGCTGGGTCAATCTCGAGACGTTGGGCTAGCCGGCGGAAACGTCTATGATTTTTAATCGTTTCATTATTTTTAATCGATTTCAATCAACATTTATCAGCGATTCCCCAAAAAATTAACGCATTTTCTATATTTCGGGAATTCTCGGGCCGACATCATATTTCCTCTCGATCTGACTCCCCAATCGTAGACCCGAATGTCAATTAACGCCGAACCTTCTTTTCGCAGCACTGAGAAGCCCGTGGAGGAGGTCCCCACCGAGCCCACAAAGGGAGCCGAAGAAGTTCCCGAAGGCGTGAAGCCCGCGGAACCCACCGAGGCCGCCGAGAAGGACAAGGAGCCCACTTCCACCGAGGAGGACACGAACGGAGCTCTGAACGGCGCGGATAAGGAAGACGCCGATGATGATGAGGAGGACGACGAAGCCGACGAGGATGAGAAGACCGGCGCTGAGGACAACGAAGCCGAAGACGACAAGCGCGACGCTGAGGAAGAGTCCGAAGACGCTTCCCCCAAGAAGAAGATCAAGACCGTCGAAGAGCCCGCTGTCGAAGCCGAGGACTCCGCCCCTGCCGAGGCTGAAGAAGCCGCTTAAACGTTCCGCGACCGAACTACTACAGCAGCAGCAGGGAAGAGGGGATCCTAATAATTTATTGGTTCCTGGTCACTAATCATGTGAACCAGCAGCGCAGTGGGCACTTGTACATTCGTTTGTTCGGAAAAAGCAAGGAGAAAAGTAAGATCGATCGATGATTGAGGGCGGGATAAGACCACACCACACCAAACAACAAAAGCATCACCAAGAATGCTTTCCTTCTGAATCCGATCCCATCTTGACGACATCGACAGCAACTACCATAGCTCATGATAATCCCAGCTGCTCGAAGCAGCGGCAGCAGAAGCAGGCAAATTGTATATCCAGGTTATTGATCGTCACACTGTCATGACAATAATACATCATTACTCTTAATCTCGTAATTACAATCATCTTCCCTCTGGAATCGTCATTCCCTTGAAAAACAAGCAAACAAACATACAGCAAGTGGTGGTGGTGTGTCGTCACAAGAAGCTGAAGGTGGTAGACTGTATAAAATAAATGTGGACGGAACAACTGCCTTCCCGGATTCTCGGGACAGGTTCACTGTACAAAATATTCTCGTCTTTCTTCTGTAGAACGAGCGCAATCTCTCGCGCTCGGCTCGAATTGATTGCATCGGTGAGCTCGTCGGGGGCGGGCGGCGTGTTTCTGGATTTCGTTATAGCTGGTTAGAGTAAGAAGTAGTAGAAGAGTAAGTTCAGAGTAAGAAGGAAAGAAGTCCAGAAGCTTACATCGAACGAGAGGACTCTCCCGGTTCTCCAGCAAACATTCGGCGGATCCCGCGTGATCGGAAAACGTCTGTGGCGTCCATATCGCTCCGGGAAAGCGAAGAATCCGCTCATCTAGCGACCGAGTCGAAAGAATTCGTAAAATGAGAATACCCGGGCAGCGATCTTATCGAGCGGAAGATCCGCCTGAGTGACCCACCCGATGAACCCTTGCATAATGCTGTGTGAATACCACCGAATTCGATTCGCTCGAGGCTCGGGCGCTCTGAGACCTCTTCTGCTGCTGATCCGGCGATTTCTGCCACTGGATAGAAGATCTCAGGCCTGGCGTGGGAGGAGCTCATGAACGACTCGCGCTCTCGACGTCAAATCCTCGTACACTCAGATCCCCAACCTCTCTCCATCGCCCTCAGAGGAAAAGAGTTGAGCGAAGAAGGCGTCGACGAGCTGTCGAGAATGATGGGAAGGTTGTGTCTCTCATGATCAAGACTCAATCACGAGCGGTTCGTCTGAGCTCGGAAAATCGGCGAGACTTCCATGCCCAGAATGGGTCCACCGGATCCTTGGAAGAATCATCCAATCGGAGCGGCTCCTCATCGTGTGATGCTCAAGACTTTCGGCTCGGAACTTCAAAATCGTGTCGCCTCGAGTCCCCCTGCGCCGACGGCAAGTAGCCGCCGCAGCAGCAGCAGCACAACAGGGTTGCATCGACATGCCGACAGTGGTCGGCGGAGGGGTCAACAACCGGTTTTCACTCAGGCGCCCATGAAGTTGGCATCCCCGACTGATGGAAGCTCGAGCGGGACGATCCGCGAGCAGAAATTCAAGTTGCGGTCACCCGTCACGCGCGTCTACTTCGCAGACGAGACCGTTTCGGGGCTTCCGCAAGCAAGATGAAATGGAGGTGTCCACGGGATGAGAGAGATGTCAAATAGTCGAATAATTCTGCTCTGATTCGGTATTCAATCAGAATGTGGACTCTGGCTTCATTCTTCGCTAAGAATATAATTCCAGGGGTCTGTCAATGAGGGAGGGGCGGCTGTCTGAGACCCCGACCTTGAAACGAAGCTTGCCCACCCTTCAGCTCATTCAGATCGATGGCAGTGATCGTATAATTTGTGATGAGAGTTCTGGAGTCCGGCGTGCCTTCGTGGGTTGCGAAGAGTTCGAGAAGAGGTGCTTCGTCAAATTAAGGAGTCATGTGCTTTCTAGAGTATTTTTATTAAAAGCAGTATATCATTACGATCAAGTGTCTCATAACTTTCACTCGTGCTGCGGTAAGTCACAGTGAAGTCTTCAAGTGGAACTACCAGCGGCGCAAAGAGTTCCTATAACGTTAAAGATCTATTTATGTGATGCAAAAATTCAACGCTCCGTTCGAATCCGCTCTAACAATTGAATATAAATTCTATATGTGGTTCTTGTTATGTCTTCATGGTCAAGCCGACTTATAAAAAAGACTCAAGCACCCCCGACCCTCTTCACACATCATCATGGGTGATCCAGCTTCTTGATCTCCATTCCAGTGTCGTGGTTGATAGCCTTGACTTGCCTATCCTCGTTCCAAGAGAGGAGCTAAATTCACCATGAAAATTGCGAATTTCCAATTCGCTCTTTACTCCCCGTCTGCCGTAGTGAATCCTCGGGTCTTTCGACTCGCATTCTCCTTCTCTCCGATAGATATGCAGTTCATAATTAAACGTCATTATTCGTCGGTTTGCTGCTTCCGTCGTTCTGATGTCGAAAAGAGAAACATTGCGAGCACTATCATTAGGATCAAACATTGTCGAGCGAGATACCGAACACATGAATATTCAACGATATACCATGCGGGAAAGAGTCTCAAGGAGGAGTTGAGCGTGAATGAATTAATTGGTCATTTGCCGTTATCGGGCTCCATGGAGAGGTATGAGGGGGAAATCTGGCGGCTCGGCGCACTGTGCGGGAGCTCTACGGTGAGAAGTGTGGAGGATATCTCCAGGAACTGCGAGCGTGAAACGATCGGGGAAGAATCGTGAGACTCGGATAGTTCCAGGGAAGATTCCTGAGGAAAATATATGAACGAGACGTATAAGGACCACCACTAACGGTACATCACCGCTTTGAGAGAAGATTATTGAAGAGGAAAACTTTTAAGAGTGTATTCCGGGAACGTTCGAATATGGGAGGGAGATTCCTCCCTCATCATCTTCCAAGAGGCGAAACGAGAGGCGAGTGATTACTGTCTATCAAAATCGAGCTCTTAATGATGGGAGGATTGCTTCTAGGGAAACATATCAAAACTATGCGCCTCCTCGTCAACATTAACATTATTTAACAGAGAATGGCGCTTTCTACATAACGGGAGAAGCGTCAGCCGAACTCGGAGAGGTTTAAATAATAACCGAAGCGAATGCTTCCTCCTATGAACACGACAGCAACAGCTCTGTTTCCTCCATCCTCGCGAAAACTCATCCCGTTCATCCTGTTGTACCCCTCGTCGTACTGGTCAGAACAGTTTTGAGAGCCATCTCCCTTACAAAGTAATACACGGTTATCGTATTCTGAACGTAGGAAAGATAATGCCATTCTCATCATAATTCTTATTCCTCCGCCGGGAATATCGCAGGGTACGGCGACGACAACCGGTGTACAGTCGTTCGCTCAGAGAACGCCCATTTCGCGAGCGCGATGATGAATAGCGAAAACGGCGAAGAACAACTCTTGCCTCTGAGCCATGTCGTTTCGCAAAACACCCATGAGCCTTGGGAGGCCTAACTAGTCTCATCACCATAAGGAAGTCTAGCCCTCAAAAAAGGCGCCGTCTTGAAGACCTGCGAGGTGTTTGGGCTGGAAATCAATGCCCGTTCTCTGCCCCCCCCCCCCTTTCTCAATAGAGGGGACTCGGAAGGTCATCGCAAAGGGAAAGTCCCTTGAGGGCTGTCAGATGGCTCCGTCGAGGGCTACCTCGATCATGCGGATATTCCTCTGGAGGAGAGTTCGGGATGGGAAATCAGCTAGGAAGAACCGCGCGATTCCGCGAGCTTCATACGGAAGGGGACCCGTGTGCACGGACATTGTGTACATAATCTAGGCCGCAAGATATTTCATCGATGCACACTTCAAATAATGTGGGCCTATCCCTCCCGTCCGCTGAATCTATCAGTTAAAGCGTTGATCGATGCATCGTGGCAGTAAGAGGCATCTCGGGGAATTATTTGCGGCTCGACGACTCCTTCTTGTCATCGTCATCCTCGAATTCGGGCTTCGTGCGACGTCTTTCGTAGATGAAAATGATTGTGCACAAGATGGCGACTTCTGCACAGATTCCTGAAGGCAAGAGATTCGTTTTAAATATGTGTTCATGAACGCAATGTATATGTCCGAGGGGAGCTCAAGAAATTCGTGGTTGAGGAACTCGCTCTACAGGAAGTCTCGTTGGGGAAAGCGGTGCAGGGAGTTTTTGAAGAAGCGCCCATGACAGATACTGCTCCCCGTATCTCGGAATGGAATGAGCCCCGCGGGAAGGCTTCTCCATCGTTCTGTGCTCATCAATCGGAATCATTCGGAGGAGCTCCGGTGGGGAGCTACTGGGGTACTCTCCCGGTGGGCGTCCTGCAGTCTGTTCGTGGGCCACATATCAGTGGCGACAAAATTCAACTCACCGAGGAATGGCCAGAGCGCAGCATATTTATCCTTCACGCGAACGTTGATCTCCACTGAGCGCGTAACGTTGGCTGCTTTAGCCTTACAAACGTAACTGGAATGAGAGGATGGGGTCTGTGAGACGGGACCCGATCGCTCCATAAGGACTGCTTGAGAGGCCAGAGGTTTCCGAGAGAGAATAAAGTGAAAGCTTCATGAAAAGGTCTGACTCACTCACCGGCCTTTATCTTGATACTGCAAGTCCTTGATGACGAGCTTCGCGTTGGCGACGCCCTCTAATTCAATGAGCTCGACCCGCTCGTCGGCTTCGAGCTGCGCATCCTCTGTGAAAAATGGATAAAATCATTAGCCATGATCTGCCCTGGCTCAGTCAGATCCTTGGCTGAGAGGCTGAAAAGCTGGGCATATGATCGGTCCTCGTTCCGCGATGAAGCTCCGGATGTTGGACTCCGAACATCTACATCGACTTTAGTCCCACCGGACGATAAGCGGAGAACGCACCTTTGTACCATGTGACAGTCGGAGTGGGGACTCCACGAACTTTGCATAGCAACGTGAGAGGATCTCCCTGAACCTGGATTTTCGATCCCTCCACGTGATCTATCGTCGGGTACATGAATACCTGTTCGAATGAAAAAAATGGCGGTTTTTATGAGTGCCTCCCCCTGCATTCTGCGAATCGGTTGATCCTCCGGGCGCGGCCTTTGAGCCAAACTCACCATCAGGGTAGCTTGTTGATCATTATTGAATTTACACGTATAATTGCCGGCGTCCGAAACATCGCAATTAGTCACTGTCAAAGTGGAAGCCGGACCCTCGTTCTGGAATCAGAAGGGACTCTGTGAGTTGATCGTGGGAGAGTAATGTGAGGGATCGTAGGGGAGAATTCCGCGGATTTCTCAAGGAGCCAAGGCTCCGAGAGTTCATCCAAGGACCGCTCGTCTGAACGTGCAGAATCAAATAGAATATCGGAGACCTTGATGTGATATTTTGAGCTCTCGCTGATGACCGATTGATTCTTGAGCCAGACATACGTCGGCGGTTCCGCGTCCTGTGAAGGCAAGTTGACAAAAATCAATTTCAGTATCGATTACAGTGATGACGCCTAATAACGGCGGAAGAAAATCTTATAAAAGACGACGGCAACTGCTTACATCTTTCCAGTACCCGGTATAGTTGCATTTGAGGACTAACTTCTGAGATTTTGCATTGACGACCACGCCGTGGTATCCGTACTCCGTCTCTGCCTCGTTCGTCAAAATCTCGGACTCTGTAAGCAATCACAAGCATTTGACTCCATCGTGCTCTCAGTCGTAAGGGAGCGCAAACGAATATTGACAGCCTAGAATATTCTGCATCAATGAATGGTACGATCACTCAATCAACCCTGGCGAGAATACGATTATCCTCCGCTAAGTCGCACGGTGAGACCCCCATTCCCATCGTACTCTGACATTCAGCAGGCTCCATGACAAGAAATGAAGAAAGAAGGCGCACACAGAATGGTGGCCGGTCTCTAGCCGCTCGGAAATTAACCTCTCTCAAGGAGGGACCCCGAATATTGGGTGTAGGGACATCCTCTCGGCAAGCCGGGGCGAAGAGGATGCCCGTACGAGCGACGCCTGCAGTCATAATCGCATTATGACTGTAGGTTCCGCTTAGATGAGAATAATTATGGCCATTCATTTTACAGCGAGCTATTACTGCAGTCGCAGCTTGTCATGATTCCAACGATATGATCGTGGTGACAAGTGGAAATACGACCGACTGGTCGTCGAGGCATGACTATACTGAACACTGTGTCGTTGCAATACCTTCCTGTTCCGAGCCGAATCAAGGAACAGTCCAGCCTAGGCTGCGATCAAACTCGAAAACAAATCGAGGAATGAAGTAAGGGTCGTATGAAGGTCGGCAGCGAGTTGTTCAGACGAACGCAGCCGCCGAGAGGCACGATCGAGACACCCAGCAACAGAATCCAACAGAAAGAAAGCCCAGAGATTCATGCGCGGGAAGCTGTGAAATCTACGGCACGTCCAAGACTGGCGAATTGATGCGATACGCGGGGTCCAATCAACTGCAGTTCTTATCAACCGCCTTGTTGACAGACTCTTCTTCTCGGGCGAGATCGGACTGGCGCGCGCGAGCGGGCGCACGAGCAGACATTCAGACGCTCTGACTGGCTTCCTCTGCTGTTGATGGTGATGAAGAGTGATGAACATGGATACAATGGACAGTTCTTGCCTTCAGAGAGTTCTCCGCTCCGTGCAGCTTTTCGGTTTTCCACCTTCAGCGAGAAATAAGTTTCGGCCTTCTCTCCGCAAGAATAGTTCCCGGAGTCCGAGATCTCCACCTGGTCGACTTTCAGGGTCCACATTTCCAATTTTTGTTTCGCCAACGATTCGAGCTTATCCTCGAGTCGCAGCGCAGCTCCAGCGCTCTCGCTTTTGCGTTTACTGCCCGTGTCCATGTTCCGGCTACGACCGGCGCCGGCCGGGCTCCGCAGAGCGAACGACTCCTCGTCTTCCGCGGATTGCGTTGGTACCTGAACTTCGAGCATTTTCCTACGCAGCTGTGATGATTTCAAAGCATTGAGAAGGTTTTTCGTTTCGTCGCTCTTCAATTTAACCGATGTCATGGCGAAGCGGGAACCAGAGCGGATAGCGACGTCGTCTTTCTTCCACGCGTTGACCAAATCGTGCCATGGTACGACACAGCGAATAGAAAAAGAATCGCCGGGCGCCAGGATCTCCGAGGGTCGCTCGAGATGATCTACGAAAATGTTGTCTCGAGTTGAATGCTCACCCGAAAGCCCGACGACGGCGATCCCTGGAAAGAGAAAAGAAGAAATTTGTTGACTGTCGCACAATTTACGGAAACCGCGAATCGGCAAGCTGGCGTCTCGACCTCGACGGAAAAGGGAATAGGCGAAGTCAAGAGAGTCAGAGGACGTAATTCGTCAGGGTCTCGTCTTCAGAATCGGCTCCATGCTCGGTCAACCCTGCATCCGGTTTGAATGAATCATCTGCCGGCTCATCCGCTGTCGGATATTTGAGATCGAAGTGGAACTTTAAGCAGTTATCCGTTTTCATCGCACGAAAATCCACAGTCTATCGCGATAGAACAGCATGTTCAGGGTCGAGTAGAGGGAATTTCCACGGAGCGGCGTGCCAAACGGTGTTATAACTCTCAATGTCCACTCCAAGGGAGCTCTTGAGTCGGTCTGAAAGGACACGAGCAACCGAGCACTCGAAGAAACAAATCACACGTCGAAAAAATCCGCGAACGACTGAACAGACAAACAAACGAGCAAATGGATATAGCAGAAGACTCAAGACGGAGGACAACATTATTTGACAGCAGAAATTTTGACCAGCCGTAGATAGAAATCAACAAATCCGGAATTGTAGACATAAGGATGTGAGAGTCACGTCCAATCAGCTGGACAGAGGTGAAGATGATCCTTTCATGCTCATTACCTCGGAGGATCGCAACAAGCAGCGGCGACAATATACGGAATATCTCGGAGGAGTACTCGAGCCGTCCCGCGCGAGAGGTTTCCATTCCGGGAATGGAATCTTTCGTTCGTGATCGCCTGTCGCTCCGTGGAATGATCGATGGCTCGTGGACACCGCGCAGAATGTACCTAGTTATAATGCATGTCGATCATAGGATCGAGTTCCACAACAAGCATTTGCGGTGACGAATTGATTCGACAGCTCTCGATGACGGCCGGCAGCTCTCGGAGTCACTCATTCATCATCAAACGCTCAGACTCATGGGAGGATAATATGGACCACGCTTCCGCCGGTCATGTATGCAGCTTTTCGCCGAAAGTCAGTCAGAATCTCCCGGACAACATAAGCTTGAAACGACCGGCGAATACGCCTAGTCTCTTCATCCTCACGCTGCCATATCCGATCATGTCGCGATTGGGAGAAGCCTAGACCGTGACCGATGATAATTATAATCGAACGGCGACGGGCACGAACCTAATGATGGCAGCTTCGAAGTTCCTAATTTTAGGAGGAGCTATTTAGGACCATCATCATGCTCAAATATTAGCTCCGGAAGCGAGAACCCACGAGTGCAAAGCGAGATCAGGGAGCAAAATGCATAAGATGTCAGCGGGACATCCATGATGCGGGATTTCGATGTCTCGAGTTCCTCATGGTCGGAATCAGCTGGATTTACGGGGAAACCACGCTTGCACGTCGACTAAGCTCTCTCAAGTCTCAGTTTCTAAGAGTGCGCGGATTCCTACACGTCGTCGATCAGACAGTTAGTCAGCTAGCTGAGCATTAAAAAAAACAGGTCGCTTGTTACGAGTGATGTAGTCATCAAGACAGAATAGAATTCGCCATGATCTAAACAAGGCGGTGGTAGCTTGACACGGCCGATCAGAACCATCGATTTCGGATGAGAAACTCAGCGAAAATAGAGTTGGCTCCGGAATCTGACACGGCATGACCATCCAGAACTTGAGTTTTCGCGTTCGACTATCGCGGGCCTCGCGCTGCTTTGACGAGGAAGGGCGATGGACAGGGTAGAAGACACGACCGTGCTCTTTCGACTTCACCAACACATTCTCGCTGAAGCGAGGGGAAAGACTCACCGAAAAATATTGCCAAAGCGCGCATGGTGATCGCTTCAGTTTTTTCAGGGACCTCTTGTCGATGGTGATGCCGTCCTTCGTGGTGGTGGTGTTGGTGGTAGCTTCTTTACCCTGGCTGGCTGCCTGCTCGCCTGCCTTCTTTGCACGCTCACTCACCCCTTGCACTCACTCTCTCACAGCGGCAGCCGCTCACACAATGGCAGTGGCCCGGCGGCGGCGGCAGTAGTTGTAGAAGCAGCAGCAGCACTTTGCCCTCTCTCAATTTAGGTCTTACCCTGCATCGGCGGCGAGCAGCGACAACCGACCGACGGACGTTGCCACCGCGCCAGGCGATAGCGGCAGAGTACCACACGTACCGCCCTCCCTCTAGAGCAGGCGTAGCTGCTACTTGCGGATTCCACGCGCATGGGCAAGCGATGCTTCAGGATGACGCGCGCGACGGTTTTGTCGGAGGAAGAAAGTGAGCCCGGGAGCACGCCGAGCCTCTCCCATCGGGGGATTCCCGTCGGGAGACTCCCGTCGTTCGACGACCGCTTTTTCCCACAGCCGAGACATTTAAATTTGGCGCTATTATTCGAGTTCATACTCGCTTCGGATTTCGCATGTCCCCGGAGGCATAAATATTCCCAGCGTGCTCACGGAGTGATTCGCTCGCGGGAGATAAGGTCGCGTACCAAGCTGAACTATTATTAGCTGTAAGGGATCGTGAAGGGGAGAGAATGCTTGTCTTAGCGTGTGATGCCCCGTGACACAGAACTTACGTTGAGCTCTGAGGGTCACGACTTGTTCGGTCTGTATCCCGCACATCAGATGCGAAGCTCGGCATGTGTATGCGTTGTTGTCCGAGGGATTCACGTTCTGGAATCGGATCGTCATGTTCCGATATCGACTTTGATCGCTGGCGGGGTCGGAGGGAGGGGGTGGAGGGAGATATACTTTCTTCGGATCGCCTGACTCAATAATCTACCTGAACAATCAAGCGGGAGTTTGGTACTCCTGTACTGGGGTTCACTGAGATGTGCACTCGATGATGAGCTCTTTTCTTCAACTCAGCGTGATCACTCCCTGAGGGAGACGGAGAATACCATTGAGGACATTTTTTCGCGCTCAAATGTCAGGCCTCGAGTCGGGACACTCCGTGCTGTCTCAGGAACAATGTCGGCCTCACCTATGAACCATTCGATATGAGGCTGCGGGTCGGCGACGAAATCGCAATCCAATGCGACTGAGGATCCTATAAGGGCGACCTTGGTCCAGCTATGATCACGTTGAGTGCTGATAGGAGCTAGAATACAAAGGAATTCGAAGACTTTAATCGAGGAACAACGTATTCATGGAAAAATGGGCGCCGAGAACTCCAGTTATCCGACTGTGGTCTGAGAATCTCCCAGGAACTCACTGACGAGGTGATACGTTGTTTCGACAAGCGGATCTTTCACACTCCTACAAATGTAACGTCCGGCATCGGAGAGTTGCATGCCATGGAATAGCAGCTGCGATGTGCGCAATTCCACATGACCTTTCGGCAGGTATCTGGTCTCGTCTTTACCGTAATACCTTCGGAGAAAGTTCCGACTTCAGTTTCGTATAAGTCCTGTTGAGGATTTTCGATGAGCTACAAAAGGGTCCCGGCAGTGAAACGTCCTCGGTCGGACTCTGATCTAACAGAGTCGGGCGAGTTGCGACGATGATTCTGAGCTGCGTCAATCGTAACCGTGTCGGGATTGGATTTTCGAAATGAGTATTCTCACCAGAAGAATGGAGTTTTCCATTCCGGCTGACAGCCAAGCGCGAGCGATGTTTCCGGCTTGATCAGGAAGCACCTTTGGGTGTCGTTGACATTCTCTGTAACACGAGACTGCTCAGTAGGGTTTTATCGAACAACTTCATCCTAAGGTCTTCGACTAAGAATCTCGTTCGTAAGACACGTTCACTGTCTCAACGACTCAGTGAACGTCCCCTCCCCTTTCGGGGAACACTGAGATCTACGGTGCTCAGCTGTGATTCGATTCTAATGTCCGGTACGGAGCGAATGTGCGACGACGATGGAATGAATGAAGGAGGAAGGTCCGCTCGGAATAAATGAATTTCTCCCGAAATCAATCGATTGCTGTATCAGGAGGAGAGCTACCTGGGTCCACGACGTACACGTGGTGTTTATCTGAATCGAATGGATCGCAGCTATATGCCCCGGAATGCTGCAGGCCGGCGTCGAGTACCCGAAGTTCTGCTTCCTGACGTCCGTTTCCCTTCAAATACGCCAGAGAAATAGAACCTGTCTCGGGATATATACATGGCGGAAAATTGTGGGGAAAACGAGGGAATTGAGAAGTCGCTCGAACCTTGACTCTGATAAACTGAATCGCGAAATCGTCTTCTAAGCTCCGTCCATTGAGACTCCATTTAGGGAAGCGGAAAGCATTCGTGCTACACTTCAGTACGAAGTCTTCCCCCACTCTCACGTATAACGGCCCAGAGTATGTTGTAGTACCTAAAAACAAGTTCAAGAGTCGACATTTGGGAAGTTCCTGGGAGCTCTAGTCAGACCTTGAGCTCGACCCTCGAGCCAATATAGTGAGAATGTCTGGCAACGGGAGTTCAATATTCAGAAGGATACTGTATGCGATCCGTCCCATCAGCTCGAAACGTGAAATCGAGAAGAAAAGCTCTGAGCTCAACCGGTAAGAGGTGAGCAAAGATGAAGCCATCGAGGGACTGTCGATCGGAATAAAGGGGATAGAGTTGACAGCAAGTTTTGAATTCTTGGCGTGAGTACTCTCGGCACGTGAACGCTGTGGACAGCTGGCTGTCTCCGAATCAATTCTGGATTATTTTTGGGCGACTTCGTGCCTCCAGCTCTGATCTTATCACCATAGAGTAGCTCAGCCCGGAAGCTAATTTCAAGCGTTCTAGAGCACCTCAATAGAAGAAAATCTCGTTTCAGCTGCTTCATCCAGGGTGTTGATCGGCACAGACTAAACCCGAGCACGAGCTCGAAAGGAGCTTGGATCAGCAATATCGTTCGTCCGAACTCACCCTGAGCTACTACGCTGAATTTGATGAGCGTACACCAAACCAATATCAATGTCGGAGTCTTCATGCTTGTCGCGGGAGAGCAACACTCAATATCTCCGCGGGACACACGCTCAAACCAGGCGGCCGCTATTCTAGAACTCCGGTTCTGTGTCAGACCCTCTGTGAGGGCCGTTTAGGGCCCAAGAATACTACGGCGTGGCTGCTACCGCATCGCTCTTGCAGCGGCACTCGTTGGTGGCAGTGTTCGTCAAGATTTTCGCCGGCACTGAGTGCTCTCTCGGCGAGAAGCGATGGGTTCGCTCGGCAGCATTCGAGAGATCTGCCACGGATGACCCTCGCGGAGCAAATGCGCGATCCAGGGAGTTTAGGGTCCGAGCGTACTCGGCGTCTCCAGCCCGACCATCCACTTTTTGTTCATTTTCTCGATCATTCGATTCCGTCGCTCATCCAAAAGCCGAAGTACATTCATGAGCATAGCACAGTCGAAGCACCCACGGCTCTCGGAGCTCCCGATTGCGCATCGAGCATAGCGATCTCCGAACGAGCCAGAACGAGGAGAAGAGGAGGCCTCCTCAGCTCATATCTTGCGTCCCTCGTACGACGCCTTCTGCTCGTTTCAGGCTCGCCGCACCTCGAGTCGAAGTCGGACGCGATGTCCTCCGGGATACGATCCGCGGAGAGAACACGCGTCATGTTGATTGTCGAGTCCGATCTCCTAGATGCGCTGTTTTCGGTCTGAGTCTGAATCGAGAAAGAGTTCCTCCGCACTGTGACTTCTCAAACAGCTGTGGAGTCGGTCGGAGCGGCTTTCAGAGCGGGAAGACAAGAGTCCGGACTCCGGACCCTTTGGAGAAACTCCAGCTCTCTGTTTGTGATCACGAGAGGCGCCTCTCGGAGAGAACTCTTCCCGGGAGACCGACCCATGCTCCCAGAGCGAGCGACCGGATTCGCTCTCGCTTGAAGTCTACATCGGTTCAACCAGACTCGAAGGGGCTTCGAGCGAATCGCCCCACAGGGCAGATAAGTCATGAAACGTTGCATCAGTGCCGGGGCCGACCACCGGAAAATGCAGTCCTTTCAATCGATCGATTCAAACTCCGCCTTCTCGGAGCTCCGATGTGATTGCACTGAAGGAATCCTCCGTACACTCTCAATGCTAGTCTAGTTCCCGATTTCACACAATCGAAACGTGGGTACACACGACGATCTGTCAGCTGTCCCCGATTCTCATAAATGTCCGGGGGTCGGGAGAGCGACTCGAAAAGTACTCTGTGGAAGGAATTCCAGACGTCTCACTCTACCGCTGTGGCGATTCCTGTCCTGGGAAATTGTGCTCCGGTGGACGGACAGATCCTAGGAAGACCGCACCCGGGAGGAAATTATCAACACAATTCACGAGTCAATTACGATTATTATCAGCCTGGTTTTTTGAGATGCATGTGGAGCGAGCTGGCACACGTGAGCGGGCGTCCTCTGCCATTTTGGCTCTCATTCTCTCTAATAAGCTGGACATAGGAAGTAGCAACCTTAACTTCATTCCCGTCTTTCGACAACAGCTCTCAGAATTTCAAATCCCGCGCTCTTCCCGCTCATAGAGTGCATCAGGCGCCATCTTGGATTTTACCTTGTGGCCCGGACCTGACTACAAAAATACGGCTGAAGCTCTCCGATCTGAAACGAAGCAAAAGAATCGCGTCTAGTGATGGCTTTAAATCTGGCAGAGGAGCTTGAGACAGCATTCCACTCTTGCATAGCGGCCACGACCAATAATGAATACTTCGCACCGAGAGATAATGGAGACGAAATCAAAGTAGGTTGAATCCAGACAGACTCCAGCATTCGGCGTTCTTTTCCACGCCGATTCACCCTTGGTTCCTTGGACTTTCCTCATAAGTTTCCCTTTTCCAAGGTTACCGTCGAGCAGACCGTGCGGAAATTTTTGGATACCGCGAGGCAGATGGAGTGCTTCTTCTTGCAAAAGCGACTGCTGGTTTCCCCTCAAAAGCCCGAACAGATCGTGATGGAGGTGAGCAATCAGACATCATAGATGCGTCTCGCACCAGCAGCCTAAGAAATCGAGTCTCACAGCATTGCTTTACTCCCCCGTTCAGGATAACATGGAGCTGAAGAATGAATTGATGCGCAAAGAGCAGCTACTCGAGAAGTACCACGCGAAGCTGATCGATTGGCAGAGACTGGTCAGCGACACCTCCATCGGCAGCGGAGCACCACCCCACAATATGCCCATGGCGCAGCAGAGACCTTCCCCGCAACAACCGCCAATAGCAGCAGGTGAGATCATCCAAAGACTCAATGCAGTGTCATTCTGAATTCGAAATTATTTCCGGAGCTCGGAATAGAGAACCTAAGTACATATGTCAACTTCTAGTGGCTCCGATGAGCGCCGGCTACATGTGCGGGAATCCCATGAATCCGGCCATGCAAATGCAAGGTGGACCGCCGGGGCGGCAAGTGGGGCCGGGAGGCGGGTTCCGTGGACTGCCCAGTTAATCCAATCTCGGACTCAGCTGAAATTATTTTACCGCTTTTGTAAATAAATTCTGGTGAAGTTGTACAAATGTATGATAGTACGACCGCTTATTCGAACCGTATCTGTTCACCGCGGATTCACTTTGAGAAACCTCACCATTACACCTGTCGAGCCCTTTTCACTCAAACGCCCCCTCCTACATTCGTAACCCAAGCCAGTGAACCTCTAACGGGATTAACCTTGCGGAAGATTGATTTGATCTGAGAAATCGCCAATACTCTTCATAGGAAATGGAATCGTCGAAGACTCGCCCACCGCCTTGCGGACGCTAGCGCTATTGTTCGGCTTTCTCTGAGAAAATTGAAACCCGGATGGAGTCATTTCAGTCAGCGTCTCAGCAAGCGAGATTTGAATGCGATTGCACGCGTCTCAAGTACAGGGATTGCTAAGGGAAAGATCTCGACAGAATATAAAAAAGGAGCCAAACCTCGGGCCCCGGCTCGTGGTAAGCGGGACGGTTCCAGATATAGTTTCAAGAGCAATCGACGTGTTCCCCATCGATAGCAAGGAACTGATCAGTTTTCTCGTTTGTAGCGCGTCCTCAGTCTCGCAATCCCGGGCTGCTGCCACCAATGGACGTCGATCACACAGATTCCAGACAGTCTTTTCATAGTGGTCAGCTGAGCTTCAATTATTTGCCATCCAATGGCTGAGAAGTCATCTCGACGCCTAAGGGGGCCTCCTTCCAGATCCCGGTCGAGGTGTTGTGCAAACATGTGTCTTCAACTTCTACGCATCGGTGTCCAATGTTCTTGAGACAGCGACTTCCGATTAACTGCCGATTGACGGCTTTCTTGGCGGATTCCGAGAGTAAGCTCCATGAAAATTCCGCGCAGCTGCTAGGGATGGTCACAAACTCAAACGCCTGGATTTCGAACCGTTCTCAGGCCGAAACGACACACACAGCTAGGTATGTCAGTGCGCTTCGCAAGCAGTGCGAAGCTAACCATTCGATTGCGACTGCTTTGCAGTACTTTTAAACGCCTGGTTGAGAAATCGTCGTTCAACTACAAAGCAAATTCAACCTGGCAGGCAATCACCAGAGAGAACGGCACTCGAGATATCTCCAACAGCCATAAAAGGTCGATCTTCATCGCCCAGAACTTTGTTACCAGCATTGCCCAGGACATCCACAGAGTAGGTTCCACGAGATTCACGCTTCCACGCCTTTGTGCTTTGAGAGCGATGACCCTAATTCCAAACTTTCATTCTTGTCGAGGAGAAAGGAAACGTCTCACTGAAAGCTTGCGGAAACTTTGCCCCGCTCTGAATTCGTCGAGGAACGACTTCATCTGCTGCGTACGCGACCCTCATCTTGAACAGAGACAGTGTCAAAGAGATTCCACGCAAGCCGCACTCGACGCTTGTGAAATGTGCGATGTCTGCACAGGCTGCAGATGACCGTAGGCCTAGCCGGATCCTACGCTAAAGTCTTCCGGCATGTCAGCTCTCACGTATGTAGCTGGACCCCGCACCCGATATTCCCAACAGCGAAGGAAATCGAAAATTACCACCTGGATCGGGCTGGTCCCTGGAATTTTCCCTATCGATTGAAGCGAACAAATGACTTCGCTCTTGAAAAATAGATGCGCTTTATTCAATGTCTGGAGCTTACCACAAAGAATGCGATTCTACAAGGGTTTTTCGAAAAATTTGCCTCACTCACTCGCTTTCTTTAGGTCTGTATCTCAGTCTATGAATCAGGGATGAGAACGACGCTCGTTGCTGCGCCAGCGGATGGACCAGCGAATATTCTAGGTTTCTGAAAGATAGATCTAATTGTGGAACCGGATCCGTTTCTATTCAATGGACAAGCAGCAATACATGAGTCACTCCGTGGAATCCGAAGCCGCGAGAACCAGTCGTCAAGATCCTTCCAACCCGTTTATCCGACAGAGGCTAATCCTAAACGATCCTGAACCTATTGGAACTCAACCGATCCTCAAAGAGTATCCTCTCAGGCCGCGACGGCCTTCACATGCCGAGTCGCGCAACGCGGTCGTTTGAGCGGGCTCCCGTCGCTGGTGGCACCGAAAAGAAAGGCAACAGATATATTTTAAGGTCTCTCGTGCGGCAGGGGACTCGCGGCCACTCGCCTTTCCGCGCGGCCGTTGGTCTGTATATTCCAGAGTCAAGGGATTCCCTAGAAGCAAAAAAGCCTTTTGTTCTATCGCCGATGGCGCCGATTCTCGAGCTCAGTCAGCTCTGGCTCCCTCCAAGTTCACCGAAATTTCCGCTGCCATCCACACGGAGGGTGAAACAGGGGGTTCCGTGGACGAATATTTCGTTCCGGGGGATGGCTGTTCCGTTGAAGAATCGAAGGTAGGATGAAATCCCATCGAGACGTTTGATCGACAGCGGACGACTGACATTGTACGAGGGACCAAACGACCATGATACCGACGATCTACGGAAGTTAAATGTCTTGAGACTCCGAGCACATTCGAACGGGCTCCGGGGTACTGATGATGGTGATAATGCAAGGACAAACAATGCGAATGGCTCGGGCGTCCTGGTCCACATCGACCGATCGACGACGTCAAGCAGGGGATTCAGAGTAAGAGGATGAGCTTGCAGCGGAAAAAACATCTCCCTAGCTACAGTTCGAGGCTACTTATTTGCAGCGTCTAGCAGCAGCCGGCCGTCTGTCTCTCTCAATTTCTTCGTCCGATCCTCGCTGAAACTGATCTGAAAGGATAGCTTCTGTTCTGTCGGATTTCGGCGGATTTGCCTGGAGAGACCCTAGCAAAATAGAGCGATGACCCCTGCCGCCAAATCTCTGTGCCGACGGACCTGCAGAGTAGACGCCTCGTTATATCTCGGGAAGAGCTCAGCGTTCATATGTGAAGACAACCGCTCTTGCGACGAGTTCGCGGAATCACGACCATGATCCGTCCATCGAGCTTCCGAGAAGGGAGCCAGACACCGCGAAAATTGCGAACAGCCGAGCCTGAGCAATCGGAAATATGTCGGCGACAAAAGAAACTCGGAGCGGGTTCCGAATAGAGCGACAGATCGGAATTTCTCGCGAGCTATCGATCAATCGATTAGAAACAAAACACTTGGTCTTTTAATCCGATTCTTGCACTCGAGCGATACGGGATTCGGAGAAGACAATCATCGATCGATAGAGAGATCGATCGCTTCGCGGATGAGTCGATTGGAGAGGCGATAAGGATCGGAGATATGTGTTTCAATAGAATATATTAACGCGCATATTCTCCTTACTAATATAGTGGGAAACGCATCGTTTATTCTTACACTTGAGCGAGCGGATTGATGAAACTTTGGTGTTCCACGTAATCAATCATTCGATCGATCGGTCGACCGACCGACCAAGCGATCATCAAGGATGGGGCCGTCGTCGTAAACGTCATCACCACCGTGAGTGACGTGCGAGCGAACGAGCGAGCACGTGGGGGCGTGCGTGCGTGCGCGCGTGACTGAGTGATTGACTGATTATGGATCGAATGATGCCGTGGCTCCCCTGAATTCTCTTCTTCTTCTCAATCAACGAAGATGACCAAGTCTGCAAGGGACGGCTCTGCGCCTCTTGAACTCTTGATTACAAGGAGTGCGAACACCCCGAGTCTCTCGATTCGTCGAGGATCAATCGGATTCCGAGCTCGGAATCCACATCTTTCTTCGAAATGCCGATCGTCGGTTCTCGCACTTCTACTCGGACCAATCTATCAGCAATTCTCATCAACGACTTGAGGTCTTTCGGACTTGCGGCGACAACGAGATTCGCGGAGGTACATGATTCTCTGATCTCGTCGACGAAGTCCGCAAATTCCAATGGCATACTTAATTCCATCAAAAGAGACTGCTTCTTTCTGATGAAAGACGTGAAAGGCTCGTCGGGGAGCCGCTGGCGAGCGAAGTATTCAGCAGGGGACCTTCTACTCCCCTCCGGGAATCGCGCTAGTAGCTACTCGATTCAGTTTGGTAGGAGTTGTTCATCCTCCCGCTCAGCGAGAAGCTTGAAGCATGAAGCGAGCTGCTGCTGCCCGGAAAATATGCTTTTATTCACAGAAATGCTGTGCTGATGGACGGATGGATGGATGGATAACATTCCTTTTATTAGGGAGATTCAATGATATATATTACAATTTCGATGGGAGAATCAGCCGCCCAAGAGCGCGAGCTCTCTGAGGGCGCCACGTGGAGGCATTCCTCCTGTGATCATCCTCGCGTTCCCGCGTTGAACTTCGATTGCGATGCGTTGGCGTATGAACGCCGCTGCTCGTTTGTCTCCTCCTCTTGCGACGATACGCGATGGATGGATACATCGAATTTATTCTTGGGGACTTAGCCAGATGGACAGAGAAATGGATGCTCTCGAACGCTGCCGATGGATGGATGGATGGATGGATGGATGGATGGATGGATGGATGGATGGATGGATGGATGGATGGATGATGGATGGATGGATGGATGGATGGATGGATGGATGGATGGATGGATCCAAGGGCACCCTATGCAAGACTCATGACTCATGACTAGAGCCCGTGACTTCATGCAAAATGCATATAATGCATAAAAATGCATATTCTGGGCTTTTCCTCCTGAAGATGCATATTCTGCGCTTTGGGGCATAATTCTGCATATCCCATATTTTCCCCATCGATTCTCGCGGGTCTCGACGCTGAGAGCGACGTACAGCCATGGTCAACCGAGAATAGATGGGAACGGTGACGAATCGGATACATCTTCCCGGATTTAGACAAGTTGGTCTCCAACGGGAAGAAAATTTTCCTGAAGTCTGCCGATCGGGTGAGCACATTCCGCGAGATCGCCCCCGGAGTGCCGCTGCCACCCCAGCCAGTTCCGACAAGATGGGGTACCTGGTTGAACGCAGCCGTCTATTACGCCGACCACTCCCATTCATTTTCGAAGGTTTTGTAAGCTCTGGACGTCAAAGACGCTGCGAGCATCGGAGCGGCTGCACAATTGGTGAGGAAGCCCTCTG